CCCCAAAACCCCAAAACCCCAAAACCCCAAAACCCCAAAACCCCAAAACCCCTGTGAGTTCAAAACTCCTGAAATTATAAAATAGTATTCTCAGATATGTTCAATATGGTGTTTTACTTTTTAGCTTTCTTCTTGATCAAAGCTGCTATGTATTTGAATCTTGCCAGTCATTCTTTAGGAGTTTTATCACCAACTTCTTTTGAAATCTTGTCCCATCTCTCTTTTGGGGGTAGAGTCTTTGGATATTTCTTAAGTCCCAGTTCAAGGCTCTTCTGCTGCTCTTCGCTCCAAGCTTCTTCAGGCTTAGTTTCTGTCTTTGATGTATCTTCAGCTTTCTTTTTATCCCCTTCCTTCTTAGTCTTCTTTCCTGCATTCTTTCTCTTTTGTAATTGCTGAGTCATGTCAATAATATCCTTGGAAGTATAGCTATTTCCCATGAATCAAGCGATGGTCTTCCACCTATCTCTAGTTCCACCGGGATACTTATTAAGAGCTTTAACTAATAATGAGAAGTCTTCTTTAGTCCATGCTTTATTCGATTCTTTAGCTTCTTCTCTCTTCTTTAGGTCCTTTTTCTGCTCTTCTTTTATCCTTTTGATATTGTCCTGCTTGACTTGATCAATGATTACCTTGACCCGGTCAAACTCGTCTTGACCCTCTCCCATATCAGTGATTTCATTAACCAACTTTTGTATATCTTCGTCTGTTAATTTCTTAACAATCTCTTCCATGGCGTATTGGTCGTATTCATAACTGAACTGCTTGAGTTTTTGGTCAGCGAGTTCAATCAATTTGGTACTCATGGTTTCTCTATACCAATTTTAGTGACCAAACTAAGGCGGGTCTTACCTGAGTTGCTTCTTGATTTCAACCATTTTTCTTTGCTTCTCTTTAGCTTCCTCAACCTTTCTCTTCTCTTCCTCCAACTTGCGGTTGGCCTATAGTTGTGAGGGATTAGGGTACCTCATTTTCAAGACGTTTACGTTCTTCACGAGCCTTTTGCTTCTTTTCGAATTTCTCCTTTTTCTTTTGCTCTTCTTCCTTTTTAAGCTGCTCGTTATGAGCCTTTATCCGTGGATCATTGTTGTAGGCAATCCTGTAGAGCTCGATAAGTCTTTGTTTTTCAACTTTGATGTACTTGTCACGGATTTTTCTAGAGAGTTAGGTGAGGGGAATACTTGTTCTCTTTGTTCATGTAGGCACGCTCATATCTATCACCTGCTTCCTCGAGGTCATATTCATCATGACAACTAAAGTCTCTCCAAGTATCGAAGTTATCCCAGTATCTGTAAAACTTTAGAACCTTTTTAATTGGGGTCTTCTCGTTACCCAATTGAGGGACTGGCTTGTTTTTAGCCCAGATTGCGTTTCTATTGAACACCTCTAAATGATATGATCGAAGGGTTTACCTGTGAATACGTCGTAGAAAGACTCATCATCGAAATCATCTTCATCTGGAATATTTTCATCAAATGGAAGGGAGCTATCATACTTCTTCCTCTTCTCTGGATCAATAAGGGTTTCATATGCTTTGAGGATCTTTAGCCATATTTCCTTCTTTACTTTCTCTTCTGGGTTAAGAGTGTCTCCTTCTCCTTCATCTTTCTTCTCTTCCTCAGTGGCTGGCCTCTTCTTATCTGGATGGTACTCAAGAGCTAATTTTCTGTAAGCAGACTTGATGTTATGCTCTGTGGCTGCGAGTCCGAAATCCTCAAGGCCAAGTACATGATAGTGGTCGTCAACAAGGAGAGTATTTGTCTCAAGATCTTTCTTGGAGACTTGCTTTCTCTTCTTCTCCCATTCATCATGGAATTTATCTTTCATCATCTTCTGCTCTTCAGAGTCATCATATTCATCGTCTGATTCGGTTTGTTTGCCTCTTTTGCCTTTCTTTTTGTTCTTTCTAAGGAAAAGGTTATTTTAGAGAATAGCAGATTTCAAATTAGTATTCAAGGTTTAAACACGAGGAATAGGCTCATAGTTCAGAAGCTCGTTAGGAATGAAGATTTTTGCCAATAAAAACAAGTAATTCATTAGCTAAAGAGCTGTCGAATAACCTTTGATGGCCCAGCTGGCCGTAAGACATACTTAGATGTTTTGCTCTTTTTCTCCTTCTTCTCTTCCTCTTCTTTTGGCGCACGAGGAATTGTCATCGGGTTGATCTAAAGTTAGCTCAGTAATAGCCCTACCTTCACTACACCTCTTTTGTTTTGTTCATAAAGGGTTGGGTCTGATGGAGGGAGGGCAAGTAGGCCTGGGATTGGACCATCTACAAATGTTGGCTCTGTGGCTTCCATAAACACTCTTAATTATTAAATATACAATTTAAAGTAGTAGTTTAGGGGTTTTGGGGTTTTGGGGTTTTGGGGTTTTGGGG